AATAGAGTTTTTGGTTTTGCCTTAGGTAGGTTCCGAACCATTAGTTCGTCCCTGCCTTTGGCGGGAAATACACCAGCAGGTTTGCTGGCTGCACCTGGGTCCCTTAGTGGTAAACCAGAGCCCCCCCCCTCCAGCTGAAGCGTTTCTCATGGGGATTCCCTTGGAGGTGTGTCCCTCTTCAGTTTAAGGTCCTTACGACCGCTTTTGTTTTTGGTTCCTTTCAAATTGGTCCCACGAGTTTTGGGGATTTAAAGGGTCGCCACCCGCAGCGCCCCATAAAGGATGGAAGGCATAAATACAACGGGTTGCTGCCTGGTGCCCTCAGGGGATCGTTCAAGACACTGGCTAATTACCAACCCAGTGCCATGCAGCCCTCAGCACACTGCCTCACACCTTGGCTTATCTGGTTTGGTCCTGTAGTAAATGAAACCCTCAAGCCTCCAGGACGAAGAGTGCGTATTCTGGTGGAGGTGGTATCCTAGATGATTGATGGGAGTGCGACACCGGTTAGTCATGAGGTTGCGACCAGGGCAACCTACGTGAGAAAGTCGCCCCTGGGGGTAGCTTATGAGCGCCCCTATTCCCCCCCTCCACATGGGTTGGTCAAATCATTTTGGACTGTTGAGCCCTAAGGCTTGCGCCACCTTATCGGTACTCTAGGCCCTAGAGTCTAGGGAGACAACTCAGATAGCTGAAGCTACCCCCATAGGGGTGCTCTCCTGCATTTGTCCCACGTACACCGTAATGAAACCCAAGAGTTGTCATGCCACCACATGGGAGGCTCTGGTCATAAAGCTATCGCCTTTTATGGGAATTTAGCCACCAGCCCCGGAAGGGGCTGTAGTTGCCCGGCGGGACCACGAGGTGTCGTCCTAACGCATCCCTGGTCCATGATGCATCCCCACCAAAGACAACCGTGGTTCGGCCAACCTCACCGAGGATGGCATCATTACCACCTGTAACATGACATAAAAGCGTTACCCGGGACACGACCCGGGTTAGGAGGATAACGTTTTTGGTCAAGCGATGAGATTCCCTGGGGCAGGCATGTCAAACTCAGCTTGTACAGAGGGCCACCTCAGCCCTATAAATAATAGTCGAGGGCCGCACTTCAAAATAGAAATATACATTAGATTTTGATACAAGGAAATTTAATTGTATTATTTACAAATAATTTCAATATAATTACCTAAAGTTGAACACTTCTATTTTGTGTATTTTTACCTTCTCTTTCACAACAGAAATAAGCGATTTCCCATTTTTCTTGAAAAACACGGCGTTCATTTTCAGTACTTTTTTTTTTCCCTACTTGAATTTTTTAAAGTGACATTGCCCCTTTTTATTATTATTATTATTATTATTATTATTACTATTTGTAGAGGGGGTGGGTTTCCCCATGCACTGCGACTAATAGTCTATTGTACGTCCCCCTTTGATATTCTACCAGTCGCCATGCCCTGCCATTACTGGTGCTTGCTAACAGGCCTGTCCTGCCAGCGAGGTCAGCTACCTCTGGCAGTAGTACCAGATACTTCCCCCTCCTCCCATAGGACTTGTTCCCTGAATTTTTCCGCCCTTAAAAATTGCACCACCACCGCCGGGTTTGAACCCATGTACCTTGAGTCATGAGGTGGGAACGTTACTCCTAGACTACAGAGGCCGCTGACATTGGCCTTTAAAAGTTACTGTACATAGTTGATGATTTAGTGTTTAATTATAACCTTTATACATTCATCACAATGTAACATCACCTGTCACTGTGTGAAAATGAACTGAATGACAATGTACAAGAGACTACTTGACTAGTGGGAAGGTGTACCTCGTCTCAGTGGTCATAAAAGTGAAAGTTTGCCAGCAGCCCAGTAGAAAATGACTGGGGGTTGCAAGCTAATTTTGTAGAAATCCCTTGCACTTCTCTGTCATTTGCCACGCTTCTTGCATTCTTACTACGCCTCCAAAAGGAATTCTTGGAAATAATTGGGGTGGTGAAGCTGTGCGGATTTTAGTGAAATACAATAGTTAGTCCTTCACGAACTTTACAAACCGTTAGTTGGACAAACCCTTCTGCAATTCTCAGGATCACTTTTCCTGCAGTCTGCTAATTTATGTCTGCGTGAGACTTCTTGTCTTCTGGTCTGTTGGAAAATTGCCTTTACAAAAAATATTTCTACCAAATTTTTAATGTTGATTTTAATATCAGTTAGCTCTAAAAGTTGAGGGTTCACACTTTGTGGGTATGGGGACCGCGTGTTTGACATGGCTGCCCAAGGGCTTAACAGGCCTTGCTCTGACGAAGAGGATTTTGGCAAACAAGTGCTCGGATCACAGCTCGATGTTAATAATACACTCTGTTCACGATACTACACAGTTACTTGTAAGCAAGTAGTGCCTTGAAGACTTTAAGGTTTACAGCATTTCGTAGCTACACAGCAGAAGATGTATGTCAGTCACTAAACTTGTTAATCAGAAGAATTTGAATTTGAAGTATTGTTGCCTTTTACAATCTGACTGAGTGACCCACCCTCTGCCTGAGAACGGTGTTTATATTATTTGGACTGAAGAGAGATTAAGTGAGAGGAGGTTGGAAAAAACTGCATAATGGGGAGCTTCATAAGTTGTCCTCTTCTCCAAATATTGTGACATGTTGCGCAAAGGAGAACCCCCCCCACCAGCAGTGACGCGGTGGGTGAGTCAGCGCTCCCCTCCCCCTCCTCCGCACGGTGACGCAACAGGATTGTTACGGTAGTAACAGCGGTTACTACCGCTAGCGTTGCTAGCAACACAGCGCCAGGCAACAAGGGTGCCTATTACGTGGCCGTATTGTCCGATCGAGGCTACATAAGGAGCAGCGAAGGCTATTCACAGTTAGTTGTACTGTGACAGTCAGCCAGTCAGTGCGTTACCAACGAGTTCTCAGTTCGCAAGTTACGAGCTACAGACGCATGTGCGATAACCAGCGATAACAGTTATACTCGGAGTGTGTAATTTAGGGAGACTGGTATAGCTCCCGCGTTATTAATACTGGAAGACTCTTGAAGACAGTGTTAAGAGATTGTGTTGTAGGGTTTGTAAACTGTGGAAACCCGTAACGTTGTGATAATTAATTGTAGCCGTTATTTGTAGATTGTTAAATAAACCAATTAACCATCTCTACGGCGTCTTCAGTAACGAAACACGTTACAATATAATTAGAATGATAAAATCAAGGAGGATGAGATGGGAAGGGCATGTAGCACGAATGGAGAAGAGGAATACTTGCAAGATACTGGTGGGAAAGCGAGAAGGAACGCTCAGAAATAGGTAGTACGCCTGTAGGCTATTTGGGGTGAATAACCTTAAATTGGGAGCAGTGTTACATGTACACCCATTGCTAGCAACGAGTTGCTAAACTAGTTACAGTGAAGGCAAGATTGTTGGTTAGGTTGACCATATTCCCTTCGGACAAAAACGGGACTGGGTATTATTGGGCCGCTCTGATGAGCAACCACCGGCAGACTATAAGTTTGTAACAATTCAAGCATGACAGAAACCATACATACAAGGTGTGTCCCAAAATTTTAAATTTATTGATATCGGTACAAAGTGTTAATGTTCTTCAAAGTACTGTCCATGAGCATTACACATTTTTTCCACAGACTCTCCCATGCCCGGTACGCCTCCTCAAATGCCTCGACGGGAACCTCATTTAAAGCTGGATAGAGTGCAGTCTTGATCCTCGGGAACAAAAATAAGTCGGCCGGAGCTAGGTCGGGGCTGTAGGGCGGCTGCGGCAGCATTGCCACTTTGTGCTTCGCCAGGAACTCCGGACGAGCAGAGACGTGCGGCTGGGCGCATTGTCATGGTGCAGCCGCCAGTTAGCGGTGATGTCTTCTGCACGCGGATGACCCTTTTCCTTGATCTTTCTAGAACATCCACGTAGTAGGGAGTGTTGACAGTCTGTCCTTGGGGTAAAAACGCTTTGTGAACCACACCCTTGGCGTCGAAAAGATGATGAGCATTGTTTTCACTTTGGATTTGCTCATCTTCGCCTTCTTCGGTTTCAGGGAAGCCGAGGTGTGCCATTCAGCACTCTGGCGCTTCGTTTCTGGGCCATAGTCAAATGTCCACGTTTCATCACCAGTAATAACACAGTCTAAATAATGAGGTTAAATTTCCACACGTTCCTTCAATTCACTCACGATCAACACTCGATTGGCCCTTTGCTCGTCCATCAACAATTTGGGGACCAGCTTGGCATACACCTTTCGCATGTTCAATTCGTCCACAACGATGCGATGCACAATGGTTTTTGGAATGTTCAGAGTGTCAGCTAACAACCGGACAGTCATTCGACGGTCAGTATTCAACAAATCACGCACACGAGTCACATTTTCATCGGTTTGGCTTGTTGATGGCCGTCCAGAGCGGGGGTCATCTTCCACTGCTTCCTGGCCCTCAAGCTGCTTCACCCACCTTGTAACTTGCACATATGATAGAGCAGATTCCCCGTAGGCTTGCTTAAGCCTTAAGCTTTTTGTTTAGCTTTGTGCAGAACTTGACCGCCCAATGTTGTTCGAAAGTATCTGCCATCGCACGCCGTGGCGTGGTAACAAAACACAGGTGCACTAAATCAGCGATACTGACGCCTCCGATGCTCGAGCAGATTGACCTTGGGCGCGCTGTGAAGCTAAAGGCCTCCCCCCCTAACCCAACCGGTTCCAGCACGCTCCAACCAGTAGGAGCGCGGGAAAGAAATATATTTCATGACTTGGGACATACCTTGTATTTTACGCTGTGGATGTAGAGGGCTGCACTTGGTTGTCGTCATTATGATACCAAGCGTATTTCTCTGATGAACTTTACACAACAAATTATGATCTTTCAATATCATGTCATAGAAGTGAACACACTCCATGCCACAATTTAGTCTTATTACGAACATAGCTCTCAATGTCTCAAAACTTAGTTGGTATTTCTCCTTGGTCCAGATAGAATTCATAATAGAGATATTCTTTTTACAGATGCTGTGCTTCCAGAAAGGCAAAGAATTAAACTCTACTACGTTAGAAAAATCATGGAATTCTAGGCATTTTTCACTCAATTCAGAAAAAATTTGGACCCATCTGTCATACAGCAACATTTTCTTGATTCCATGCATCCAACCGCCTCGCAACTGTAGGTTTTATGAGGGACCACTGACCAAATACGCGAACTTCATCTGTTCCAGTTCTGGTAATAAATTCCTCATTCAGACTCGTGAATTTCTTTCCATACAGGTATCTTCCTCAGCAACGCCCACTTCTGTTTTTCGTAAGTTACATTTCCACTTTTTTTACATGATCCAAGCTGGTTTCAAAGAAATTATGAACTACAAAAACTTAACTGAGTAATTTCCCCTGAATCTACCAACTTTCAGTTGCTTTTTGACATCAATTGTGAAAAGTTCACATTTTCTGGATTCTAAATTGTTAACTAGGCTGTCTATGTTCATGGCTACTTCTGTAGCTGAAATTTTATATTTCTCGATTAATGTATGTCTGGAGTGTTGACACAAAAAATGTTAATGAAGTCAATCATTCATACATACATAAAATTCTGTCAATTGATGTACCCAAGGACAAAAATATTTTATTTCCATGCTCCATTAACTTCGCATTATTGTTTCCTGCAAAGTCACAAAAGTTCTTAAGATTTTCAACCCTTATGCTATATATATGAAAATATTTATACACTTTGACAGCAAAACTTCCAATGTCTATTCGTAAACAATCTACAGCACACTGGAGACAATTGTGTATTGTGTGCGCCCCACAACCAATACCAACAATTTATCTCCCAAGTTGAATTTCCAATTTTTGCCACATATTGTTTTTGCCAACTCTTTTGCAACCACCAAAATTAGTGTTCGTGTTTGCGCACAATGCAACAATCTTATTTTGCAAAGCAAATTTATCACTCAGGCACTTTGTAGGTCGGATGTTTCTCCTGGCAAGGAAGTAAAGCTTATAATTTTTACTTGAACACCACATGTTGGCAAAAAATACCGCACAACAACAGGAAATAGTTTGATGCATATAAACTGATGGTAATACTTTTAGTTTCATTCAAGTCCTTAACTACTCCATCCAGTATGTATGGCGATAAAACATTGGTTAATATCGCTTTAAATTTTGTTCGTGCTGACGAAATTTTAGGTTCATAAATCTTCTTTATTAATTTAGATAAATAGACATTTGCCCTAAAACTTTGGTTGTGACACAGCATGATAGGCAACAAGAGCTTCACTTGCCGCAATTTTATTGGCTGCACCATCACCATTATCACTTTCAACAACAGTGAATAAGCTGATAGTTTTGCACGAGCTCAAAGTTTTTTCACTATCCTTATGTTTCTGGCTGCATAGATGTTGATTGATATCACTTACCTCCGTGAACAACGGAAAAATGGACGTTGCAGTGTTGGCATACAACTTTCGTACCATCTTTACACAATTTGTCCAGTTTAATAAATTTAAATTCTTTTTTAAGATCGACGTTGAATGTGCACTTTCGTCTCTCCGACATTTTGAAAGATTCTCAAGAGCTAAGAAAAATAGAATAGAAACTTGCTGCTGACTATTGACTGTTCAGTTCACTCTACACTGGCAGAACAAAGACGAAAGCTAAGCGAGTCGCCAAGCCACAGCCTATGCAATGATGCCCAGCGTGGCTACATATGAGGGGTCAACGAACTCACAACTGTTGCCAAAATGTTACATGATTCTTCTTTAATTTAAACAAAGTCCTTGCAGATATCGAGCGATAAATTTCTGTGCTCCGATGATGAATCATTGAATCTTGACTTACAAATGACCAGTATTTAAAACTTATTTTTTATTAAAACGGCAAAACTAACATTTTTATGAAAACGACGGGACGGCCAGAAAACAAAAACCTTCGTATGGTCAGCCTATTCTTTGTAAACAGTCCATTACTATGTTACGCAAGAGTAGAGGAGGCCGTGTTTTCTGTATATCCGGTCGATGTGCCAATAGACTGGTTGGATAGCGATCGTGTGATGTGTTTACTGTAGGTCCGTGTCTGCCGAAGTTTTATATGGGAGAGTGAAGCTCGTTTGCAGTCAGTCATAGCTGAGAGTCCGAGTGAAGGACGCGAAGCCGTTATGGAAAGGAGTTGTGAGGATTCAGGTGTGAAATATTATTAATGTTGAAGGCTTTATGTGTACTGTAGTACATTGATATCTGGAGTGTGATAGTGGTAGTTCCTATGTTCAACTGCGTTACCAGGAGAGGACTACTGTATGTAACAGCGAATTATAAAGTGTAGATAAGCGGAAGCACTTACTGATTACCGTATTTACGCATGTATAGGCCGCACATTTTTTGCCAAAAATTCAAGAGGACAACTGGGGTGAGGCTTATATTCGAAATATTCGAAATCACACTTCATTTAAAAAAAATTATATTCATAATTAGTAATACAGGGTGTTCAAAGATCGAGGAAACCGGGGCAGTAGCGTAGAGCGAATGGAACGTTTCTCCGCGACTACTGTGCCCCTCCCTGCTAGCGAGAGTGCAGTCATGTCGCTGATACCCTTACATCAGTTTCTGTACATGCACACATTTATAAGAATACTGTAAAAAGATAACACAAACTTACCGTGCTTTATAACAGGTGCTGAAAGTGACTCCCTTCTACTTGCAAACATGCTTCGCATCGCATGAATAAATTATGTGACACTTTCTGAAGTTGGTCCACGGTAATTGAACCATATTACTGTTCATCACTTGACTCGTTACTGTCGATGTTGCTCTCGCTCGAAGTTTCGCTGTCAGGTGATGTCAGCCATACAGCGTCATCTTCGGTCGTGCCCATTGCGTTGGAAATGGATGTGACTTTAAAACTTTTGGAAATCATTTCTTCTGGTATGGTGTTCCATGCAGCCACAGTCCACTCACACATTTGACTTAAGTTTCTTCAATCGTCCAGTCGGCATCATCTCCGTGGAACCGCATCTCCAGTTCCGGTAAAAGCGCCGCAAATGAGACTTGAAAGGACGGTTTATTGACACGTCAAGTGGTTGTAACATGCCAGTCGTGCTTTTCTGCTCCTGTAGTCTGCACATGCACTGTTTTCNCACTGAAAATCCATCCGCCCGTGTATTACGCACGTATCGCAAAAGTTTATTTTCAAGTTCTGGAAATTTAGCTTTCTTTCCGCGGAAAGATTGTAGATTTTGTGACGTTTTTTCAAGGGCATCTTTCGTTAGTATCCATCTTGGCACATTTTTTTCGTCAACGTCGAATTTTCTCCCTGCTGCTCGATTTCCGTGTTCTTGTGCATAACGCACCACTTGAAGTTTAAATTTAGACGTATAACCTGCCCTTACTCGACGCATGTTTCACTCAGAACTAACCAGGCAAGTCAAGTAAAGGCGAAAAGGTTATAACTCCCCCGCAATGCCTTTGTTCCGAGCGGTACCGTTATTTTCGCTAGTTGCGAACTTAGGAATGTTAAATGTTGCCAAATTTCGGAATAATTTCTACTGCTGAAATAATATTCCAAGAAAATTATTTATTCTATAATTTCTGTCTGAAAATTGTGCTGCCGCCTATACACGCGTAAATACGGTATCATTAAGATAACTTGTAACCTAAGTGCTAAGGAATCCAATCATCCAACTAGAAACCTATATTTTCGTCACGCGTACTACCCTACACGTGACAATATAATGTATAGGTTAGAATCTGTCTTTCAACAAGGCCATGACATCAACATTAAAACTAATTATCAACTCATAATCCATTATTGCCTTCTCATCTCGATCAATGGCACACATCCACAGCAGTTGATACAGCGTCATTTGCGTGAGAATCAGTCCCACCAAGTGCTTGTTTCTATCAATTGCATTGACTTCGAGAGTTCACGTATGAACTATTTATACAAAATAAGGAGCTCCCCTTTTAACTTGATTTAATTTTCCTTTACTTAATTTAATTTAGTGCAGAACAAAGAACTGCCAACATCTAACACGATTAAGCTTTCAAACACAGCGACATGAAATGTGAAGTCAGTCGGGTTTTAATGTGAGCAGACGTTTAGCCATAAACTAAGCCATAATTTGGCCGCTGCACAGCTCAAGCGGTTAGTCGGTGGGTTCGATCACGGGTCTGGTCAAGTGGGATTTGTGGTGGACAAATTGGCGCTGGGGCAGGTTTTCTCTGAGTACTTCATTTCCCCTGCCAATCTTCGTACCACCAATTGCTCCAGAATCACCCTCACCTATCATGTTGGGCTGGTACAATAGGGCAGAAGTGGCTGCAGTGGGACTTAGTCCCACCCCACTATCATTAAAAAAAAGCCACAAATAAATATTTCTAAATCATTCTGAAATCCACAGCTACATTAAAGTAAGCTTACCTTGAAAATAACGACGATAATGATGGCAGGAACATCAATATAGAAATGGGCTAATAATTGCACTGCCTCCTTCCTAGTAAGTTGCACTCCTTACATCGAAGACAGGAGCGGCGGAACGTCAGGGGCTCTCATGTTATATTCACAATGCTCCCTAGATATAGTAGGGACTCCAAGCCACAGCAGGGTGACACTTCCAATCGACAAGGCTAGTTCACAATAATAAAATAATTTAATAATAGAAACACAGTAAAACATAATACAACAATTAGAACTTAATAGAAGCCGTGGGCCCAAGAACATGCACCCTTTAACCACGTTTGTCAATTACCTTACGGCTTGCCTTAACTGCTGCATCAGACTACACTTAACAGCCCACGCTTACTGCTTAGTAACCTTGTTTACCATCATGCTACTTCAGTAGGCACAAAATAAACCGTAACTAATATTTATTGCCCACTGGCTATTCGTGGAAAGTAACCCAATGACGTAAAATTAACTTAGACCATTGCTGCCACACTAACCTATATAACAAGCAAGAAAAACCCCCGACGTGCGTTGCCAGCCAACAGGCCCAGACATAATTTAGAATTACCTTCCGAAACAATTTGAAAATATCCCAGGCTGGCAGCGTACGTCCGATACGCTATGGATTCACGCAGCGAATAAATCTTGATCATCATCATCCACTAACCGGCTTCTTCGGAGCCATTATAGGGGGGGACGGGGCGAGGAAGCGGAATCCCGCGTGGTACACTCCAGCACGGGGAGAGGGGGTAGGGATTATATATATATATATATATAATTTATTATACTGTAATTGGGTTTTAGCCCGGTGGCAGTAGTACACAATAGGACACAACAGACAAGTAACACACATTACACTGACAACACGTTCAAACAAAACAAAACACTAAGGACATCCTACCACAGTGAATACAAACCAAATACGATTAACAACTACAACAATTACAGAGAAATACAAACAACTGCGACAAAAACNCATCCTACCACAATGAATACAAACCAAATACGATTAACAACTACAACAATTACAGAGAAATACAAACAACTGCAACAAATACAACAACAATTACAGAGA